TTGACTTTTGTATAATATTATCACTATCTTCGGCAGTAATATCAAGATCATATGAAAATGATGAGTTGATTGTGTCATCATTTGTATCATATGTTTCAGTGTCCGTAATATATTGCTTATTTAAATCTTCATCACTAGATGCGGTGCTACTTTCATATTCAGCATTCATAAAATCATCAAGTAACTTGTCAAAGTCATCTTGATTATCACTAGATAATGTTGTATTTGGAGATCTACTGCATTGATTATTATTATCAATGTTTTTGATAACTTTCTTCCTTATAATTTCCTACAAAATTAATAAATATAATTAATTAGTTGTATGAAATAAATTTGTAAATTAATAAACTTACCTTTTTCATTCCTACAGCAAAGCATTTATCAATTCTACATCTTTTACATATATTCCTTGTTACAGAATCTATATTACATTTTCCATTCGCTATACATGTCATTGACTATAAATATAAAATTAAAATTAAAAATCATTAAACAATTTAAATATTAAGATAAATACCTTTGCATTGTATGCATGTCTTCGGAAAAACGCTTTACACGATTGACAAGTAATGGCACCAAAATTTCTACCTTCAATTATTAACAGAAAAGTATATAACAATATTTTAAATAAAATAAATATGTAGTGTTTTGAATACTGTACAGAAACTGTACAAATGTCTTACTTAATGCTGTATCGCCACAAATATTACAAATTCTTTCACTTTTTGTTGAATACATTTATGTATTTTGTAACATTAATATTTACATTTAATTAAATTTATATTAATACTGAATTTATGTTATATTATTTTTATAAAAAGAATATTATAAGATTGCTATAAATATATATGAATATATAAGAAGTATGCTATAAAAATTGTACTTTTTTGTTAACTTAGCAACAAAAATTTTAACTATGAATTTATCTGCTACAAAATTAAAATTAATTCTGTATTCTTAATATTTGTTCAGTATTTTTATTAAGTACCTGTGCAAGTAGGTACGGTACACAATGTATTTATAAAAACTTATATATAGTTATGTGTGATAACTTTATATTTATTTGATTGTTAAATTTAAATGTGCCCTTATTTATTTATATACTACTTTTACAATGGTCATAAGAAAACATTTATCAATGAACACTATTACACCATTTGTGTGCAAATTATGCCGTATATATTGTAAACATGGAAACGAGTAAGTTGTTAAGTACTTATTATTATTTAAAGTTTAGTCTAACATAAAGTGTACTCAAATATCGCACAAATTCAAACAAATATTTCATTTAACAATTGAAAGGATTGCTGTTTATTGTGATTTTTTATGGTGACTCATAAAATTATTTACGCAAGATAGATTAGATATCTATTGTAAGGATTAACACCTGCATAACATGCTATTTGTAAACTCAATATCTATATAACAATATGATAATATCATGGAAATTTTGATAAGTTAACAACTCTTAGAATTAAATATAAGTATTTTATTTTATGCAATACTTTCATATTCGCTGGGTACTCTAATGGGTACTTACGATTAGTATAATATTTTTGTACTAAAAATAAAAATAACATTTAATAAAACTTTTAAACAAAACTATAAACACAACGAAATTAATCAAATGAAATTATTAAATAAAAACATAATGACAATCTTTAATACACAATTGAACATTTTACATTTCATAACATAACACTTTAATTACAATAAATATACTTTAATAAATAATACAAATAAATTACTACAGGCAATTTTAAACAACTTTCTTAACAATAATAAAATGAGCAATCAAGGCATATCATATATCTCCTTGACCAGTGGTCCATAATATTGTAAATATTGCTTATTATCATCGCTTAAATTAGGATTACCGTACTTCACGTGAATTTCTCCAATTATTTCTATATCTCTCAATATAATCATCAGTTTCTGGAGTCTTGATGGCGATTCAGATCCACATTTAATTAGTAAATACTTTTGCAATAAATAAATATACAATTGTTGTTCACACCTTTAATATAAATTTAAACTCATTATTTATAATATTTATTTTATATTAACTTTCAAATATTAAAAGTAATTTGCACACACTTAACATTATGTCGATTCTTAAGGTTTGGTAGATTAGGATTGAAAAGTATGATTGCATTCAACTATTATCAAGAATACAGGATTAATACTAAAAATAATTGTATTTAAAGTAAAGGTCTTATTACCAAATCCATGATTACTTGATCCCGATCCCATTCGGGCAATAACTTACATAAAAGTTGTTTAGTTAAACTCACACCAAGGTTAAAAGACTCTGTTTCATCAAATACAGTCATATCCATCAAAAGTGTTGTCTCACTATCCTATCACACATGAAATTTAAACATTTTACAAATTACATAAATATTATATGTAGGTAACATTTTACATAGTTTAACAATTGATATAAGACCATAAATTTATTAAAATAACTTACTATATATACTTTGGATATCCCTGTATATGGATCTAAGTTGGGCAAACTCCTGAGAAACAGGATCTCAAGGCACCCGTACTTGAATAGCTCTAACTGGTCATCCGGACAGATATTTGATGAAAAACACTCCAGTCTTTTGGTGAAAGTAATAGCATTTCGGACACTATATTCAGTCCTTTGAATCCATATACGAATCAATTCTTGTCTATCCTTTACTACAATCTTATGTCTACTCTCAGGAAAGTCAAAGACATCGGAAGCGGTCTTGAGTTCAGTGATCCGATTGGCCTCCAACTCATTGATACCCTGATAGTCATCGA